CACAGAACCCACCTTGTTTCCTGGAGCGGCTTTATCGCCTTCTGCGGACTTTTCAGAGGCAGCCTCAAACAAGCGCTAAAAGAGTGAGAATTACAGGCATAAAGGGGGCAACCGCTGATAGACTAGCATGGAAAAAACACACGTACAGCGACTTTTTGGAGAAAGAGGTTCCGGAAGAGGCAGAAAGCTGTGTCGGCTGGAACGAAGTACTCACTCATCATCTGATCAATAGAGAAGCACTGTGCTTGCATTTCTTCTCGTGACAACTGAAGGCTGAGAAAAGTGATAAACTGAACCAAGGTTCCCTGACACTAAAAAAGAAGCAGGCAATGCGTAGAGAATGCGGGCAAACCATGACAGCTGTACCCGAAATCAAGAACAGCTTCTACAATTAATGCACCTGATCATAGAGTCGTCCGGCAGTTTTTACATGTCGTTCTGGATCGTCTAGATACAGAATTGCGTCCCTCTGTTGTGCCATTAGAAAGACCAGTGGCATTATGACCTTATTTTCTATGAGGGCCTCTTTAAGACGATTCGCATTTCGACGAGCATTTCGGATCTGGGCGTAGTATCCACCCTCTTGAAGAAGAATTTCGCCTCCGGATGCCGCTTCCAGTTGCTCATCGGTCATTTCCTCGTAGGGGTCAAGGCCTGTCATCTGGTGAATTACTTCCTGCAGGATCAACAGATCTTCGCTGCGAAAATAAAAGGTGAAAATTTGTGCTTTCCGATAGACATCGCATCAAAGCAACGAGCACGACACTAGAGCACACTCCGCGGTCAAGCAGACCCAGTTATGGTTTGACAACCATCAGCTGCATTCCGATGCTACCAGGACAGGTGCCAGGTCAATTCTCGATGTAGTTAACAACCGGAACAGTCACACTGACCATTAGAAAACTTATAAGTATAAAAACAGGGAAAGCTTTCATTACTGGCCGGAATTGTGTAAGAGCCACTATCCAGTCTAGCGGGGATGCATTGACAAACATTTAGCAGACACTAGAAACTCTACCATGTAAACCGAATAGCAGTTATCCATTTGTACTCGCGTCCGTCGATTAAGGTTCCCTGTCTCTCAATTTACTAGTATGCGTTTACGAAAACCCATTTTTTAAAATAAAGCTTAGAACAAACAGAGGTCCGTGGTTCACCTTCTTCCAGCTTTGAGCTGATTCAATATGTACTGAAGGATTCCGGCCAAATCAAACTGGTACTTCTTGCACAGGGCTCCAGTAAAAGTGGACAGTGCTGAAAACACACAAAGAGGAGTCAAAGTTTGTCATGGCAAAAAACATCAACACCAAAAAAAAACTAACCATGCAAGTTTCCTCCCATTTCTGAGGAGTTTGCTTTTGTTTTGTCCGACGCCAGGGCTTCAATGAGACAAACTAAAACAACAACAACAACTAGCGGGTCTACTATTTGCAAAAATGCAGCATTCTAACAGGCGCCTTAGCAATAATGTGCAAGGCAAAGTGCCAGAAAAGAGTGCAATGAACTTACATGCAAGCACATCGTATCCGAGGCTGCTTACGTACTTCAGCGAATCGACAACCGGTGTAATAAGATTCGTAAACATTTGGATGTTGTGCAACATCTGAAAAGGCAGCACATTTGACCCATCAGGCACCGGTGACCCAGGAAATGATGCGTTAAGGGCAGAGGCCACTTACGAAGTCGAATATTACGCCGGGGTTGCAGTGAGAGAGCTTCCCAAGATGGCGTCCTAGTTGCTTAACATTCTCCTTACTCAAGCGCCTACAAAACAGAAAGCACTTCATTCACACGACTGTACTGCTTCCTAAAAGCTCGCAGTGAGCTCGAGAAAGTTTAACAAAAGACACAATGAGCAGAAAATTGAAGCAAAGTTTTGATACATCGTATAATTTATTAACAGATTTTAAAGAATATCTGGACGTAATCCCGTTTGATTTCGTGATAAAGTTGGTTTTATAAAAGGCGTTTTGCACGGTCCACGTAAGCACATGTGTCGGAAATAGTTGCGTGGCGCCAATAACCAACTGATATCGGAGGTGCGGTATTCCAAAAGGACGCGTGTGTGAGTTTATTTATTATTGTTATTATTATTATTATTAGTTTCAGGCAAAATTTAAAAAACGATTTGGTGCCGATTTGTAACCAATTAAAAAGTGACGCCATCAAATGTGTGGAAACAAATGGTAGCATGAAATACAAGAACGTCCTACTAAATACATTTGGGAACGTACTTCATTACTGCCTTCGTGCGACTTAGGATGACAGTACGCTTTCGCAATAATGCCGGCTCATTTTGGCAACTTAGGTGTTTCCACTGACCGTAGAGACGATACCTGAAAAGGACCATTATAAGCCGCCCATCAAATAGCAGTCACATGAAAACAATAAAATGCTACGGGAGTAACAGATTCGGTAGAAACGTTGACCAAACTTCATACGCAAGAGCCCCAATAAATGGTGGGAAGAGAAGGGACAGGAAATAACAGGCTGAATTACATTGAAGGGACGTGAGTGAGCAAAGGCTAAGAAGAAAATGCGGCACAAAAGCAAGCCACTTTAAGTAATCACATCTGAATGAATAGATTGACTACAACAAACCTCAACTTTAAATATGTCAAATGTGGAATCACCACAAGCGACACCTTTTCCGCTTTTCGCCTTTCCACCCCTGATCTAGAGCAAATAGCCTAGTGGCACAAAAGCCACTGAGACAACCACGAAATTGCAAATTTCGGTATTAGCGTTTGCTCAGCTCCCACCGAACAGTCCTAAGCGAAATTCGATTAAACGGAATTTCGAGGGTTTCTTGTACTAGGGCTATCTTTATTACGCGTCGCTTTATTCTATCAGTGTGTGCGTTCAGAAAGGTTAGACATCCTTTTACACGCCCTTTTCGCTAGCCTGTTGAAAATCGGTAGTATTGTAAAACCTGTGGAGGGTGAAGCAGGCTATTTAGGGTTTGGTGAATTTGCAGATTGCTAAAGCAGGTCTCTTCTGACAATTAAATAATGTTCCTTAGAATTTCAATCTTACAATACAACATCTTCCGTGAAACAAAAAGCGAATTTTAGCGACTGTCTACTTTTATTGTTTTTTTTTCCACAAAACAAGCCTTTCGCTGGCGCATATCCATTTTTCGCGTGGATTTTAACTTGAGGATTAGAATGATGCGCAAATAAAGGCAGTTAAGCATTTTTAGTTTTTCATTTATGCATGAAACCGAGGTTTATTGATATCGAGAAGAATGAGATGGACGACAGCGTACGAGCAACAGTCCAGGTTGAAAGTGTGACTAAAGTGGCACAGAATCCAGTGCCCCTAATAGCCTCGCTACCACCACAATACCTGCAAAACCGTTAAATAGCCAGCACTGCTGAAATTACAGAATATTTAGCATGTCTGCACATGGTGTCAAAGTGCCAGAAAGATCACTTGCCTATGATCGTATGGCAGATGGCGAACTAGCTTCCAGATCTCTTCGGCCAGACAGCAGTTTGCCGGGATCATGCTTAATGAAGGCAAGATGGACTCATCCAGCATGTTGAAAATCGCCTGATACACCGGATCTGGCCAGGTCTTTCTGTTTGTCTATTAAATATTACAAAAGACAATCAGGACATTACTCTCTCTCTCTGTGTGTGATGATGAATGAGTGTGCACGGAAAGTTTAACGTTTAACAACACTTCATCTGATGGACAACACCTCAACGATGGACGTGCATAAGCTTCATAAAAAGTACGACGTACTCAGAGCTTACAATCCGACTTTCGTAGTGTTTCGCCAAGTAAGGCTCTACTTTGTTAAGTGAAAGTACTGATTCCGACTTGAAGGAATTACATTACCGTACTCGGACGAAATGTTGACATGTAGGTGAATTGTCACTAACGACTTGGGAAAAACAACCCCGGTATAAGATGCTACACCTTTAAGGCTGATAATGTGCATACTTCGGATGTTTTGAAGGGAGCACGAAGTAGCTCAGGAATTAGCAAAATCGGAAACAACACCAAGTTAGAACTAATAAGAAGTACGTGAAAGCTCATATAACGTCAGATAAAAAATGCAGTCTTTTCTCGTGAAGGAGGGAATATAGACGAGATTTAGACAGACCAATGCAGTTGTTATAGGCTTTCCATCTAAAACACATAACTCCAAGACTAAATTTGTCCGTTGGAACCCGAAAGTTGTTTCCCGATCAGTCCGGAATATTCTTAATCACGACAAAAACTGCAATGTGGCTGTTCCAGTATGAAATTAGCGTCAAAGGTGTAGTAGAAAGGGTGGTTGTCGAGGTGAAATGGAAGGAACCGGAAATAAACAAACCCCAAAAGGGTCGATTTGCGCTACGTATCAGTTGACTATTTTGAGAAAGCAAGTGTTAGCAGGTTGTATTTTAGCGAAAAACATTAAAGGATCCATCTGCGTGTAAATTATTTGCACGAGAACACGGCACTGGTGTATTGGTCATAGGAATTTGGCCGATGAAGTTTGTTTGGATCAAAGGCTGCGTTTACTTCATTTTCAATTGACAACTTACCCATTTCGACAGTCTGGAAAGACAAGTGGTTTAAAAATGTAAACCCAAGGAAGAAACAGAAAATTGCGTTTTACCTGATAGATCTTTTTGATGAATCAATGCATGTTGCCACAATGGGCCTTAATTCATACAACTAGATTTTGCTTCACGACTACCGTTTTGTCTCAACAGTCCATAACATATAATGTCGATAGTACTTGATACAAGCGCCGATCGAACAGCCAAATACTCCCGTACAAAGAGGGTAGAAAAATATTCATCCAAAAATAGGCATGTGTTAATTTGTCAAATGTTAACTGTGATGGAGCATTGTCGTCTTGACGAAACATGAGACAGCAACTGAATTGTTGGGAGGTGTCAAAAAAACGACTGAGTTATTGCGGCGGAAGTCCTTAAAATAAGCACAGTATTAACAGAACAAATTCTTATGAATACATTAGACCATTTGGTACTTAAAAGCTTGAAAATAAGAGGGCGACATCGGGAATTATCAAGGATTTACAAATCACTTTTTGGTGAGACTGGGTGCAATTGGCATTTTGAATCTTCCGCATCTTAATTTAACATTGTCACCATTCTTTTGTAGAACTCTCTACATCGCACAACTGTATAGAGAAGGACAACACGCGTACTGCACAAAAAATATCAGCATAGCATTACGTGTTGTTAGTGTTTATCAGAGGGGTATTTGCGGAAATTGAAGGTTTTTGAAAAGTTGACCCTAGAGGGTGACTATTCTCAAAATTATTGCCTATTTTGAGCCCCGTAGTAGCTAATCTGAAATGCAATTTATTTTATATTAACGATAATGGTAAAACGGACAGGGGGTTCTGAAAACATACAAAATAAAACAAACTCATAACAAATTAATTCGGGCCCTTCTGTACGAGGCACGAAAACTAAATCTTGGATTCTTGGGTGAAAAGCTCTCCTACTATCGTTGTCTAATTTCCCTATCTTGGTACTACACAGCATTGCTAGCACAAGACTTTAGAATTAGAGAGTTGAAAAACAACTGACCGTTTCAGCGAGATAGACAGAGCAGATTCGGCAGAGCTTGACAATCAAGATCACGTCGCTGGAAAGGAAAGGTCCAAGGTAACCGGTGATAGGCAGGACCTGACGTCCAAGACTACTAAAGTCTGATGCTTGCTGGACATCCAACGTCTTATTGTCCTCAGCACCCTCAAATAACTCTGGTTGAGCCGGCTTCTTCCGTCGTTTCAGCAACGTTGAAGGTAGAGATGCGTCGCTAAAATAGCGAGTTCAGTGAGCCAAAAGTGGTGAGGGCAATTGCGTTTTATGCTAATCAATTTACTTCGCATAAAGTGGTTCAATCAAAAAGTGAAGTAAGTCACAAATGGCCTTGTTAAGTGGCATATGAGATCCAATCCAGTGGCCAGGAAATCGATCAAGAATCTTCTGCGCCGCTTTCCAGTCACCGGATCGTACCAAAGCCGCGCAAAGATCCAACTTCTGGTTATTAGAGAACTACAGAATATCAAAAAAAATAACGGTAATGAGCAGCATGAACGGAAACAAAGTCTTCCTGCCAAATGGTTGAATGATCCTCCCGAATTGCACATCAGAAGTGCTATGGTAACTAATATGTATACCAACATGCACACAAACAGAAACAAATTCCTCTTTAGAAATATTAAGATAATTTTAAAAATCATACACCCATCACTGGTATTTACATTCGAGTTACGTACTTGAAATTCTCCCGATTCATCCGACTCAGCGTCGTCCTCGGGAGTCCACATATCTTTTTTGTCATCACATTCATCCATCGGTTCTGGCCCGACTCCCCCTCGCCTGTTGCTACTTCCATTGTTAGGGCTGTTCCAGTGATCCGCGTCCACACTAATTCCAGGGGGTCGACTAGGGTCACCCAAGAGGCTCCCAACTCCGCTAGTCGAACCTCCAGCTGCCGAAAATGTACTTGTCGCAATGAAATTGTCCAAACTACCCTGAATTGCGGGAGCACTAGATTGGATGAGTGGCCTCCAAACTTTCGTCTCCCGAATGCTTTTCAGGCGACCGGTGTGGATCACAGAATCTGCTGGCTGTAACTAAAATATTACGCAAAATTATCAACATAATTACATTATGAAGGTAGGATATCTGTGAGTGAATGGGGCGAACAGTCAGTACATTTCACTGTTTAATACAGTAATTTACTTACGTAACGCAGTGAAAGCAAGAACCTATATGTATAATCACTAATTACATTCGAGGTTACGCTTCAACAGTATCCCTACTGAGACTGAAATTAGACTGGGTTGCTTGGGCAGCAATATAATATTATTCATTATGTACATCTGAACAGGCTATTAAAAACATCAGTAACCTGATCGTTGAATTTAGAACAATATAGCTGATATAATTAGATCGACAACTGAAGAAACCTCTGTCTAGGGGAACACTATATTAACTTACGTGGCCAAGAAGAATGTCAACCTCGATCAGATTGTGTGATATAAGCAGGGCAGCAAGGCGATGTAACGACTCCGGTGTATTACTGTCTCTTTCCTGTGAATCAGGTCAAATTGCTCAAAAAAGTTTACCTGGTAGAAATGAAATTTATGCCCTAAAATATGGGTCAAGTCCACCTTATCCGGTTGATACAAGTTAATAAGTTCTATAAATAAAGACGATGCATCCCGGCGTATTTCAAAAACATCCAGGATGATATCAAGAACGCGATTTGGGTCAAGGTCGAAGTAACCAATGAGAGAGCGGACGTGCGTAATACAATCCTCCGCCGAACCCACTGGGGTGTTGCTCAAATCAACAATTAATTTTGCGTAACCCTCGCTTTCTTCACGAAGAAGATTGAATTTTTGTTGCTTGTAGAAAAGCCTGGTTTTGGTGCGAACATATCGAGTTCGAGTTTGCATATGGGAAGTAATCAGTGATAATTGTTCAAGTGTTTCATCAGAAAGGCGTTCCATAAGAAGTGCCGGATCAATTGATCCTTTACATACAGAAAGAACTTGCAAGAAGCGATCCTTGGCCTGAGCATCGGCCACATCACTCATTGCAACATCTGAGTTAATGTAATCAAAATTTCAATAAAACAACGTACCAAGAAGCCACAATATATCGACCAACCTTGACGAAAAGTCATCAATGTCAAACAACTATTAAAATGCATGCATAAACCAGATGACATACTTTGACGACTTCAGGGAGTAATTTTGTCACCAACTCAACCTTTCCTTCGCCACATATAACTTTTACAAATAAATCACAGAGATTTTGCACGCAAACACTTGCATCATCCTTGGACTGCTGAAGGCTAAAATAAAGTAGGCAAAGTGAACATATTACTCTCAACTATCCAATACATTCGACAAGTGGATGGAGTAAGGAACGAGGTATTGTTGACCAAAAAACAACAGGAGACTGTTCTGGTACTACAGCGCGTAACAAAATAACAACAGCAGTGCACTCTGATGGAAAGTAGCAATTGTCAGTAAAAAGATCCTATGTCACAAGAGCTAGAATTGAAAGTAAGCTATCTAGAGCAGGGTTCTTACACACATAATCAACGAGTCAATGCCACCTGAGCAACACAAGCATCGTAATTAAAGGACTTACAAGTTATTTCGGCCAAATTTTCCCCAGTCTTTCAAGCAAGCTTGAATAAATTTAGGATTAGTACAGAGAAGCGACAACGAGTTCATTTCATAGAACGCTCCAAAACAATTGGATAATTAAACAAGAATATTGGAAAAAAACAGCAGTAATATATTTACAAAATTAAGCTTAAAAGAAACTTAAATTACAAAGTGTTAGATAATACAATTAAAAAAGAACTGTTACCAGACAGCTACACGAATTCAAAACTAAAAGTCAAAGAGATTAATATTGAAGCACTTTTATTTCTAAAACAAAAGAGCAATTTAATATTTTGGTGAAAAAGAAGTGAATATACGAAACCTTTTAGTGATAAACTACTTTATAGACGATTTTTTCGTGATTAATACCTTATTCAACAGGTTAATTTGATACCAATAACAGGGCTGTTTTTTGAGTCTGGAAAATGAATGCTCCCCAAGTCAGTTCCTTGACTCGTCTTAATCTCATCTTAAGCCTCTATAATTCCGAATTTTACCGAATAGTCTTTTTTATTTTGCTTAATGCCTTTTAAGCAATGAACAGTTGCAATTTGTCTCAGAGTCTATAATAAAGTGAAGTTTTTAAAACAGGAGCGTCTTACTTCCATGCATGTAGCCTTTACGATTCTCATTACCACTGAAACTTGATTTCTTGTGCATTAATTTAACTCCACGCGCTATTTGATTAACGCCTTTCTAGCCGGTTCCTTGTCCTCCTCTTTCATACCTCCCTCCCGCCCGTGGGCCTTAAGGCAAATCTGACCCTTCCAACTCTCATTTGTAACACATCCATTTAGGTCTCCACTTGACGGACAAGATGTATTGGCACGAACTCACCAGAGCTTTACCCATGACCATAATTCTAATTCTAGCTTCAGAACTAATTATCAAGTTGAATTCGATCACTAAAATATATACATAACTTTTGTTCCACGCAGATAAAATGTAGATTATCCTGTTGGTAGGTTGTGCGATTTGTGTTTAAATACTGTCTTAGTTCAAAAACCAAATGAAATAAAGTACCTCAGTTCGCCTTGGAGGCCCCCTTGCATTATATTTAAAATTTGTCATTATCAAAAGTACTTTAACACTCTTCATCTGTTCAGTCCTAAGATGAAATTTGTGGAAATATTGGGGCCCAATTATAACTCCTTTTTTTAATCACTCACAGACATTTAAGTCAAAGAGTTAAAACGAATTGCATTACACGCATTGTAAGTAGATTTCAGTTAGCACTAATTTGCATAATGTTTTAATTTTGATTCCTGTCTCCTCTAAAACAAGGTGATACCCTAAACATGAAAATTCACGCAATTTTAAGAATGTAATTTTGGTTGTTTATCATAATATGATCAGTGGTATCATTTACACTGCATTTGATTGTATTTTTTTCAAAATAACGTCCTTATTTAACCATTTACTGAAGTGTTCGAAGGAGAAATGTGCCTACCCTCCTGACTCCAATGAATCCATGGACAATATTCTTCAGGCTTCGTTTTGAGAACCGCTGGGTTGCTGAAAGGGTGAATATCAACATTTGGTAAGTCGTAACTATTCTAGTTAAGTGTCTATAACGTAAGAAAAACGAAAAGAATCGATGGAAAAAAAGACCATCTAGTAGCCCGTAAATTAGATCAGCGTGAAAGAAATTATGTTCCATGTTTTTAAGTATGCATTTTCGAGCAAACAGACGGCTTTGACTTCACAGGAATAAAATAAACCGCCAACACTAACGAACGTGTTTAATTTTCATGAGACCTTGTAGTGAACATCAGCTAAGTGATTTGTGCGTTGAGACCAAATAAAGGTCGAAGATTACTCCACAGCCTCCTAGTTACCGAGTATTAATGACGGTCCGTTCCTCAGAATAGCTTAATGGCCTCTGACTTCCATAAAATAGTGCTGATGTTACTCGTGAGGTAATTTGGAGACCACGTTCTCCCCTCAAATCTTGGAATGTTTATAACGGGAATCCAAGAATCTCTGTCGCCAGAAGCCATTGAGTGTTTCTTGCTATCAGACTTGGCCGTATTGCTGGCACTAGTATTTAGTTCCACACATTAACAAACTCCCGTTGGTGCGAAGGATTGGAGTGAGCATCAACAAGAAAACTAAAAGCGATACATGCAGTGTGGCTTTTCGTGTAGGCAAGATACCCTTTCACTTGAAATGAGGCTCCTTTTGACAATAACATCGAACCACATCAAATTCGAACAGGGCTCGGTTCCACCCTTTTGTCTGCTTTTAGAACTGTCGTATCCCTAATTCTAGCACTGATTTCCTATTTCCGATATTTATTTGACTACTGGTCGTAATTTCACTGACGCCTTAAGCTCAGTCGCGTTCCTGAGAGTAGCCGTCACTCTGAAACAAGGCATTGCGTAACTAAAGAAACATCCACGAATTTACTGTGGTGTGCTAGGGCAAAGTGCAGTTCACAGCAATCAAACATATGACATCAGAGGTAGTAACCTCGCTGATTTTCTTCAAGATCTTCTAAGTTGCAGGCACTTTGCCCTGAACTTCCTCATGGCATACTGGAAAATGTGCCAATGTCTAAGCTCGTGTGCACATGAACTCGCATTTATTGGGGAGGAAATGGAAAAGTTCTACTAGATCCCACAATAAGTATGCAATGCTAGTCTTGAATAGGTACATGCAGATGGACTCCAGCACCTAGCGCGTTGAATAACTATGGGTTCATTACTTGCTTACGGTAAATAGATTAGACAAAAACAACCTTAAAATAAAATCGAGCGGTAAACGTATTCCAGGGCATTAGGTGGTTCGCAAGTCTAGCCATATTGTAATCAGAACGTTGACGTTCCGACTGGCTCTGCAGTGGGAAAGGCTGTGCACGCAGTCATTGTGGAGTAAGATAGACTGAAAAAGTGCGGCAAGCATCGTTAAACTAGTTTATTTTGTAGAAAAAGTGAGTTTATTTGCTCATACTCCAAATGCGGGGAAGCACAAACATGCTGGTAAACAGCATGAGGGGAGATGCCGTTGGCAGAACGTCGATTAGCCCGGCACTTCCAGCAACATCAATGTGGGTGTAGGGCAATTGCTTATCGCAGCCCAAACCGTACTAAAAAGCAACATTAATTGTTAATTTAAAACACATTGCAATTAACATCTGGAAAGGATAATTTGTGCTACGGCAACACTTCAATTCAAGAATGCGAACAGAAAGGTCAAAATTTGCGCATTAACTAAGGGAGTCCCATGACCCTACGAATTAGTGGAGTAAACGGCGTGATCTGGGGACAGCATCTCGCCAGATTGAGCCTAGCAACAACTCGGATTTTAAGGCCTACCACACATTCAGGCACGCAAAGCTATGCAAAGCGTGCAAGGAACGCAAAACTGAGCTATGAACTGAGTTCGATGACGGTCACGGGAATACATTGGAATTTCGCATCGTTAGATCCTTTAGCGCATCATTTAATTTCCAGTGCATCCAAACATCCTACGTAAGATGGTCATGTGTCACTATTCGGCAAAATGGCAACGTCACTTTTTGTCCACTTAGACCAATGTTTTCTACGAATAGTTCCTAATTTACGAACTCAAAGATGACAAGCACCTGTGTCACCTCGAAACCACTTGACATAATTGCCATCGTTGGACCGCAAATAGTGCATTGAGTCACTTTTAAATATAGAAAGCGGAGGAGGCACAAAAACTTTGATTATCAATGAATCACAAATCATGTTTAATAAGATTTCCTTATGTGGGATTTTTTCTGCGTTCGACCTCGCACATTAGACAATTAGAATTCACCTATTCCAACCATTTGGACTTTCGAATACACTCTTTCATTCATTTATACAGTTTCATACGTTTAATGAATAGTATCTACATATCAACTGCGCGTTTTTCATCTGACTGATTGATTAAGCTTCGGCAATGTAGCTGGGTAACGGAAGGGATAGGTTGCTAGGACGTTATTGTATACAGGTGACCAACTAGGCTAGGCTGGACTAGTAGTTGTACAAGCAGCGAATGGCCAGAAGCGTGATGTGAGTATCAAGGGGTGGGAGGGTTGTGTGCGCAGACATGCCCACATGAGCGATGGAGGGAAAGCGTCGTGGGAGCGGTGGGGGTGGGCGACGTGTTGGAGTTGGCTCAGACGCGATTCATTTATAGACACTAGTTAAAAGTCGGCATCAAAGGCTTGGGAGTCCCTAGCCATGGTAGTGCTCAAACAAATTGTTTACTTCGGACTAACCTTTTCCAAGCCACTGGCCATTATCATAAATGCGGCGGGTAACTGGTGACCTCGGGGCGTTGCACTACTAGGAAGGTTATTGCATTGTAATAGGTCCTCATATTCTGTGTGGCCCTTGTTTATTTCAAAATCCTCCTTGCGAATAGTTGATACCTAACAAGGATAAATCGTCTTAAAATGCAGAAAGGCGACGGCAATATGCTACTTAAGCCCTTTCGGTGGTTAACATTATTAGGTTTGGTAAAACGAGGGAATAAAACTAACCTCCACCATGTCCGAAATGCGCTCACCAGCTCTTTGGAGCTTATGGGCCATGCCGTGCTTCCGCGCCGGTCCATTATCCATGACCGCCTAAAAAGTTGTCATATTCAGGTGATATGTCATGGCGAGAATGCAGCTGGACAGAAGGACAAGCAACCCACCGTGTAGTATTTGTAGGCACGAATTACGTGACCTGTAAGGGTGGCGATCGTGAATAGGTACGGATTAACTGCCTCCAGGGCCTGAAAAGATACAAAGAAAAACTCACAATAAGCCAAACAACTGTCACCTATTTTAGCATCCAGTGGTGGCACTTCGTGTAGTCGGTGCCATTTAATGGAGCAGACGTAATTTGGTGTTGTGGAAGGATACGACCCGAAATATGCGGAGTGGACAGGTGACGAAAATGGTGAAGTCCCAACTGTTTGAGCCAACCAGGCTAGAGTCATGCTTCCTGTTTACTCAAGCGTTCATCAGTGGAATTAGCAGGGCGGCTGGATCATTGATGGGTGTTTGTTTAGATAATCGGGGGCAATCCAAGATAAACATTAGAGTTCATCACTAGTGGACACGGAGTTAGGGTCAAATTGGTCAGCCGGAGGCAAGTAAACACGGTGAACAGCCGGTGATAAAGTGTGTGAACTTCCGAGACCCACCACAACACGCCAGGACGGACTCAAGATTATTCAATCAAGTGTGCTGAGTGATGATGCTGGATCGAATGTGCCAAAGGGGTTCCAATCATGTTCAAACGACCGCACATCACCCCTTGTAAGACGGCGCACTGTGACCTCTTGAGTCTCAAAGCTTATCTATGTTGGGAGCATCCATCTTAGCACACTCCAAACATTCTGCACAAAGCTTGGTGGTAAAAATAAATCTAAGCCCTTTTTTGAGTAAACATTTTCACAAATTACTGAAATGATGAAAATAAACAAAACTATTTAATCGGCTGGTGAGGGCGTTTGATTTCCGCCTTTAAAGTTACGTGACAATTAAATAAGTATTCTGCGGAGTGATATAGTCAGCAATCATGTTACTAAGACTGGAGGAACTCACTTTTTCCTTAGCTTCACAAAGCAAATCAGTCATGACCATTCGGCCTTCGGCATCGGTGTTTCCAATCCGGATGCGCTTGCCCGCTCGCGACGTGATAATCTCATCGGCGACGTAGCCGTTGCTCCCCACACTGTTGCGCACGAGAGCGAGGTACCCCGACACACGCAGCCCGGGCGGCTCAAGGAGACTGAGGGTCTTGAAAAACCCGGCGACCGCCGCGGCACCGCACTTGTCGCGGTGCATACCCGCCATCACACCACCGGCTTTGATGTCGCAACCACCGGTGTCGTAGGTGATCCCTTTGCCAACCAGAAAGAGACTAGTGTCGACTTGATTTCCCCCACCGGTATACTCCAAAGTAACAACTCGGCCGTTGTGTCTTTCGATGCCTTTAGGTGAGAAAAAAAAGCGGAACGTGATAAACAAAAATAGTTCGCACCAAAGGAACACGATAAAAGCATTTAGTAAGGTAGCAACGACAACGAATTCACACCTACGAGGCTCATTGGGAGGCAACCACCACACCAAGAGACGTGAATTGACACGCACACATCTGCTCTAACAATTCTAATCGCAATTATTACCTCTGTATATCGTTGTTAGCGCCCGCTACAACCCAGCCTTATCTTCACACCTTCGCCACAATCTTACGAGTGACGCAATATCTGAACTCAGTAAAGAAATCTAATCATGTTTTTTATGCAGGTTTTATTTGATAGTTAGTTCGACTCAATGTTGACCAGACTTTCTAAAGCGACCCTCTCCTCAGTGTAAAATTAAGAGTGCATTCATTAAAAAGAAACAATTTGCCATTATGACTTCTGGAGTAATTCATAGAAGACTATTCATTTTACATGAGGAATAGCATGCGCAAAATAATTGCATAATATCCGATTGGTAGTCAGTATGACACACCTGGTAGCAAACCCCACACACAAACAAAGCTAACGCACAGTCATAGTTTTGTTAGGAATTAACAATGCCTCCGCAGAAAATAGAATAAACCTAGATGTGGGAAAGACAAATTTTGGGCCCTAAGCATTGGGACAGTTTGTGCTGCCACCGCACAGCCTCGCGAAAATCGATGCAGTCGCTTCGACTAAAATTAGTAATCCCAGCCGTGTCCCAGCTAATCACCCCAATGACGTTCTCTGCGACACTGCTTGAAATTATTTCGTTATTCATGAGTTGCTGAGGTGAGTGCACTACAAACGGTTCGGTCGCCCACACAAGGCGGCAAATGTAATACGAGGCGTAGTTGGTTGGAAAGCGCAAGACTTAATGGGATGGAAGTTGCTAAAAAAAGGCGGCAACAGAGGCCCTGGGGTTCTCAACATGCGAGTCAGTCGGTGGCGGAGTTGTGGTGGTGGTAGATGCGAGTTGTCACCAAAATAGATAGTTTGGTGCGACCAGGTCGGACTGGCGTGCGGTTCAAGCGACACAAGAATTTCTCTCGCGCACTTGGACAATAATTACAATCTAGCTTTCAGTTACGAAGACACTGTGCAATTGTTTTTAATGTAGTGACTAAAATAGCTCCCAAAATTTGGTTTCGAATACATGGAACTGGCGAAAATGTTTTTGGTGCCGAGAGCGCACCCAAAGCACCGGATTGACGGCGCATTTAACGAGACGCTTAGTGGGCGGGAAAAGTGCACTCACGATGTGTCTATCACCCACTATTCACAGTTTGTGGAAATAGTTATTGATTTCTGTGACTGGGTTTCCGCATTTGCATTAGGCGTCATTGGCTGTATATCTAAAAATATCTATAAGATCAGATTTCTCCATCTGTTTTAGCAGTCAATAACAAATTAGGATTTAAGCATAAGTCGAACCCTCTACACAGCCAAAACAATGGCGAATAGTTACAGAGGTCAAATGCACCATCTGACCATTTGTCTGGGACTCTTGCGTCAGACCAGAAGTGGAAAAAAAATTAAATCCCCCACAGAAGCAATACGCATTGCTTACCGGACGCGGCCCTATTCACAGCAGCCATCAGCGGGTAGGCCTTCGGATCGACTGAACCGACGCTGACGTTGACGTTGGCGCAGTGCCTGAACTCCGCCTGCAGGTACTCGGCGATGCGCGGTGCCGCCATCCGCTCGGGGTCGGACCCGCCGATGTCGCGCGCCACGCGTCTGCCCTCCTCGATGGCGTGGGCAGCTTTCAGCAAGTGCTCGGAGGCTCCAAATACGCCCAGTTTTGAGTATTTTGTTAGATTGTCGTGGAAATTCTCTCGAATCTCGAGGGGCTAAATATGCGTAACAAGATCGTAAGCGTCCGCAATTTGTGCCTTCGTAGGACAAGGGCACCTACCGCCTAGATGACGTATTCTGAAGGTCTAAAGGAGTATAGTGGTGATTGGACCGCGTGTGTTCGCCAGTCCAAAGTATTGTGGGTTAAAGTATCTTCCAACCACATTTCCCTTAATGGGCGACTGTCTGATTGAGAAGGCTCCCGACACCCCAGGACGCATTGTCAGGCCAGCAGTTATTTCAATGATCATAAACTACTAAGCTTAATCCAACGAGGAATGCCATATTGCCAAATTACCATTTAGACAGATTTGATTAAAAAATGTAGCAATTCCTACTTGATAGAGTGCGTGAAGAGCACCAAGGACGGCGTTCAGGAGAGGAAATTCACCCTCAGCCCAGGGAGCGTCTTTGGGTGCTGAAGCAATGGGCCCCAGGACCAAAAGCGGAGATTTACATCCAATGTCAAGAGCCCTAAACAAGAACAAAGGCCTACGTTAAAGGCAATATATGATGCAGAAATACAGAGCAGCATTGTTTAAATTGACGACATCAGTAACAGAACTGTACACAGGGGGCCAGAAAGCCTGCCTCAATATGACTAGAAGGAAATATGACTAGCGAAGTTAATGAATCACTTCATCACATGACTCACTTTTTCAGACTCGCTACAGCCGCGTCGTAGATGTTGCGGCTATCGTCCGTATCACCATTTAATTTGCCGGTTGGGGAAAATATCTAAAACCCAGATTAGTGCTCAAAATTAGCGAAAGACGCGAAATTCGGTAATCATAGATGTGCCACCATAGAGCTACACATATGAAATACATTATCATTGAAATAAACGGATGATTTCCGCGGTCGAGAAGACTGTAAGCCAAATTCAAGTACAAATTTCAGTGGAATTAGGCTGTTGGAAATAAGTAAAAAACAAGGAAATGCTTTTAAAATATGCGACCGTACAAATGACTAAAAAGGGGCTACGGTAAACCCTGATAAAAAAAACATAAAGCTCGAGTTTCAGACGTCATCGTAAGACTTCATTCGGAACTCACCAACCGATAACATGGGTGTGAAGGGAAGGGTAGGATTTCCAGTGATTCGGAAATCTTCGGATTTACCTGAAGACGAATAAAAAAGCCGTTGAAAAAATTGAGGAGCATACGAAACATGACATTAGTAATCATACCCTTTCATAAGCAGTAAGACATTCTTCAATCAGAGATAAATCTTCTCCGAGAGATCTTATAGTGTCATTGACGAAGATCACAGCATCAAAGCTGCCGTCCAACAAGTTCGAACACGGAATCGGTATCATGATTTATGAAATAAAACAAGCACCCATGTGTCGTTATATTGGGACAGAAATGACCAATCCAAGCTGCACGTAGAAGAAAGTTTTCAACTTAGCCAATAGCAGGGCACACGGAAGAACCAATCTGTGTTCAAGCTGGGGTGCTTTCTGCCTACGTGGCAGTGGGCAAAGGCGATTGGTTAGTCACGGGACTATGTTTCAAAATTCTAAATAGGAATCTGCGGTCTTGAGTTTTTGTCATTTTACGTGAGATTACACCAACAGCGCTTTTCGCTTAAACTATTATCTGACTAGCTTTCAGGATCACAAGCCCTAGCTTGTTAAAATTTTAACTGTTTCGTTGACTCTTGACTGTGAAATTGCTCCTACTTTTCAGTTAAATACGCAATTGCTTGTTGATAGCTGGCTAGTGCTGGTCGCGGATAAAAAAGGATGATCATATTCAATAATGTGGAATTATCGAAATACGAATTACAGTCACGACGATCCATACAAATAATTGTCATACCAAACGTGCAATAAACTATAATAATAACTGGCGGCAGCAGTTTTTCACAGACACTTAATTTTGCCTGAAGTAAGATTCATAATCAGTGGCATTTGCGAGGGTAGTAACTCACAGTATAATTGCTTGAGTTACTTGTGCTTAGAGAGAATTTAGTGGGCTCAATGAAAGGCGACCACTACCTTTTAAAACTTTGATTTAAAACTAGAACAATTGAAGTTTTATTTGCATACTTTCTATTGTCAAACGAAAGAATGTCCTGAGATATTCAAGCAATTTATTTACGGTATCAATTAGCCATATCGTAGTCATTTGCTAGAAATATTTCAGAAAAAATATTGGTGTTATTTGCAATCTGATAAAGGTAACCACAGAGACTACAAATTGTAAGAAAATTTCTGATGGTGTTCCAGTTTAAAATATTTCAAATATCTAGTTTTAGCGGAAACAGATGTAACTTCGTCAGCACAACAGTCAAGACACCGCACAAAGGCGAAATCTACTGAGAGCGGAAGCACAGGCATGTGAAGTGATGGCCGATTTGTTAAGCACTAACTTTGACAGCTACAGCGAAAGCTACAGACAGGAGTAAATATGTAATAAATTTGATCCGGGTTTTGTTGGATGACATCATTGAACAACCAAAATTTATCAAGAAAGTAGGCAAAATTCTGGTAATTTGTCGAAAACTCACATTTAGCAAATCTATGTGAATTTTTCACTTTAGCAACGTGAGAGGTGGCACCTATTAAGTTGCTTCACAAACAAGCTGACAAGTAAACGATGCAATGAAACTGATTCTTCTCACTCGTAACCCGAAAAAAAGATGAATTTACGAAATTGGCAGTATCCTGGGCAAGTTATAAAGTCTCGTGAGTTGAAAGTCGACGAAAAGGGGAAGATTTTGACCAGAATATCTAAAACTGTCTTCCAACACGAAACCATAGATGCAGATATCTCAGCTCCATCGGAAATAAGAACTCCGTGACCACCTTTCAGCTCACATGCACATGCATTGCAGGGTTAGTCTTGATGTCTAGCAGTCAAAAAACTGTTTGTTTAGGAGAACGAAAAATCTGCAATATAAGATAAGTAATACGCCACAGCACATTGGAGCACAAAGCCCATGTCAGTCGGTAAATTCAAGAAAGCAAAAAACATTGATTTACGTTTATCAACAGGGTGTTGATAGTGGTAGTTTGTACTAAAAAGTAATGGCCGCAACATGAATTGTTGGTATTGTCGAATTCGGTCACCACAATAAACATGCCCTAGAGATTAACTACACGAGATAATTTGTCGCATTCGACCAACACAACCTGAGGTTAAATTTTTGAAATTGTCATTCCAGTCCCTAAAATGGGCAACTGTCGTACTGAGGCTGTCGCGTTTCGATCTGACTCGATGGACCAACTAGGTAGGACAAA